AGGCCGCTGGCGGCTGCCAGTGCACCTCTCTCCCCATGCCTCCGGTCAGGATGAAAATGTAGTTTTTTGTATCTTAACCCCAAATAAACCTGCCCCTTCCACTCCCCGTCCTAAATCCCAATAAGGTGGGCCTCCGCTGAGGGCTTGGTGGTCTTTGCTTGGGTGGGAATGTGCCCAGCCTCACCGCCTCTCCGCTCCCCGCAGGCCTGGTTGATGTTCCTACCCCAAGGAGGTGAGATCATGGGGGGTGAGGGGTGGGGGAGAGGAAGGGTAATTCTATCAAAGGGAGTGGAAAGGACAGGAAGACTAGATTTCCCACACTCCCTAGGTGAGGAGACCCCTGCCAGGGAGCTTTGTTTTCACTGATGACTCTGGGGCCTGGCCACCTGGCTTCTGAGTGACCATCTGGGATGCCATGAGGTCCTAGGGTTGGTCTCACTGGAAGGAGCTAAGAAAGATGCAGATTGGGACAAGCAGTTTGGAGACACTGTTTGGAGCAGCTGGGAGATGGGTGAGCTGGCACTTATCTGAGGAGGGGGTGGTAGGACAGAGGCAGAAGTGGCACCCCTACCCCCCTGCCCAGGGACTCCTCCCAATAGGCACTTGACCTTTAAAAAGCTTTGCTTCTCCCCAAACAGCACTATCTGATAGAAAATGCTTGCTCAGAGTTGTTTCCACTTGATCTAACTGCTTGGAGGGAGCAGAATGTGTGTGTGTGTGTGTGTGTGTGTGTGTGTGTGTGTGTGTGATTTTTAAAGAGATCTACATAGCACTGAGGAGCTTCAAGGGACGGAGAACAAGACGGGGAAGCCCGCCAGCTTTAGGTAGAAGTAGAGGGTTGCCACGGAGGGCTGAATAGGTGACCTTCCTCACTTTAAATAGCCTGGGCTGTAGAACTTGGGGAAATTCTTGGTTGGCATAAACCTTCCTATGTTAAAGATGGAGATTCTGAGAGGATGGGTATGGAGGGAGAAAGACATCCTTGCAGAGGCCAATAGCATCCCTCTGTTACCCCCTCTCAGCAGTTGGCAGGGATCTGTGGCTGTATATTGTGTGTCTCAGGGTGGCTTTGACTGCATCTGTACTAACCCAGGGCCAGCGGGGAACAGAGAGTTGAGGTAGCAGGAATAGCTCAAGCTGAGCACCTCGAGCCCCCTAAATGTCAGGGGAAATAACTAAGAACTAAAGTGGTCCCCACTCTGAGAGGAGCTGAGAGATAAGGAAAAGATTCCAGCAATAGGGTGGGGCTCAGGGAAGCAGAACTTCCCTGAGCTGTAGAGCAGATGTTCTAGGTGGGGGCGAGCGGGTGGGGTACTCCCTTGCTGGAGGAAGGCAGAGGCTACTCCTCCCAGAGGTCTGCAGGCCTGGGAAGAGAATAAGGTAAAAATAGCTCTTCGCCTTGGCAGACCTAATAGGGAAGATAGGGGGCGGCAACATTTATGGTAAAACCAGGCTGTTGGGGTAGGATGCTTGGTTTGGAGAAAGGCCTCCCAGGATCGTGTGAGTTCTCCAGCGTGGGAACAGGAGGAGATTCAGTATTCCCCACTGCCGATGTAGGGAGGTGAAGATATGGCAAGGGGGGCAGGGTGGAGGGAAGCCTGAAAGGGTGGGACGGTCCCAACTGTGGGATCAGGTCATCTGGCCTCTCACACCTCCTTCCTGGGGGATAAAGGAGGGAATCCCTTGCCTGGCCCCACCCTAGATTCAGGGAACTCTTAAATTTGATGATGACATCACAGGTTAAGTTTGCATTTGTGTATACACACACACACACACACACACACACACACACACACACACACACACACACTTCAGCCCCTCTCTGGCATTCCCCTGTCTGCACTGAAACAAAAAGTGGCCGTTTGGCATCCCATCCTAGCTAGGCAACAGTTAGTGAATGAAAGAAGTGAATTCTAGTAGTTTGGGGTCAGTGGATTGAGAACTGCTGGACGGATCAGGCGGATTGTGGGCACCACGAAAAGAGGAGGAGCTGTGATCATTAAAGAGCCAATTCTCTGAGACAGTAATTTGGGTGTTATTAGAGTTCTTTTAGAATCCAGAAAGGGGATAAATGTTTTCTGGAGCAGTTTTGATGAGGCAGTTAGTGACCTACACATGGACTCCTCAGACCTGCTCCAAGTGCTTGAGGTTAAGACAAGGAAGCATTTAAAGGATCAAGCAGATCATGGGCATTAAAAGGGAGGACACCTAGGCTGGAATGAGGGCTTGGTGACTTCTGCCCAAATCCTAACCCAACCTATAGCTTCTTCCTGGACCCAAGGCAAATCAAGGCTACTTTGTTACAGAACCCCAAAACATTTTTTAAAATGTTTTTATTGATTTTAGAGAGAGAGGAAGGGAGAGGGAACGAGATCTAGAAACATCGATGAGAGAGAAACATCAACATTGATTGGCTGCCTCCTGCACACCCCCCGCTGGGGATCAAGCCTGCAACCCAGGCATGTGCCCTGTGGTGCATGGGTCAACGCTCAACCACTGAGCCACATGGGCCGGGCCAGAACCCCAAAACTTTGTAAAAAATATTCCCAACTTGGGGTTCTGGTCCTTCTAAGCCTAGTGGCCATGGAGAGACTGCTTATCATCATTTTCCTCCAAAAAACCGAGTTTGGGTTGTTTTTCCTGGTCACTGGATCGAAAGCAGGGAGGGCACTTTTAGGGGTATTTCTAAGACTAAAGAAAATCATGCTCCTTGCTCTAATTTTTTTTTTTTTAATAAAGTCTGACCATTGTAAAGGTCAGAGTCAAGAAGTGGGGGAGATGGCACAGGGTGGGCAACTGGTAGGGCAAGGAGAAGGATTATTGTTGCTAAGCAAGCAAGCTCAGAGATGAGTGGTGGTTTGTTCTATTTTAAAAAATCATACCATAGTGAGTGTTCATCATCTTGTCATGAGAGATTTTTTGAGCTGGAAGATGCTTCAGAGATAATCAACTGCAGTTTCTTCCTTTTGTAGCGGAGGAAGCTGAGGCCCAGAAAGGGGAAGTCACTTGCCTATTGTCACTCGAGTGATTGGAGGGCAGGGGGGGTCAAAGCTGAAACCAGAACCCAGGTATACCCCCCCTTCTGCTACACTTTCTGCTCCCCACCTCCTCCTTCCATTCCTGGCCTCTGCAGCAGAAACCGGAGTGGAGGTTAGCCCTAACAGAGGGTTAGTTCTGGCTCCTTCGTTCTCTGAGGGAGATAGCTTAACAGTCCCGGCACTGCGGCGGCTTTGTGTATTTGTGTGTGCAGTGGTGGCTAACAGTGGCTAAGGTTGGTGGCCTTTAGCTGTCAGCCTCACAGTGCTGAAGAAGAGGCAAGGTGTGATCACCTGGCCCAGTGATGGTGGGAGCGGGAGGGGGGGGAAGAGCAGGTATAAGCTCTCTGGAGCCCTCTGGCCAGTGTGGGTGTCTCCTGGCTTGGCCTCTGCATCTGTCTCCTCAGTCTCCCTGCCACTCCAGCCTTCTCCCTGCACCCCACAGGGCAGGTTGGCACCTGCTGCCTTGTGTTTTTGTGGCTGCAGGCCATCACTCAGCACTGTTGTCACCGGAGACTGTAGTGACCCCAACGGTCCCTTTCCCCTGACTTCTGATTGTCCAAAGCAGAAGTGGTGGCTCAAACCTTCAGGAGGGAGAGTTGGGAGCTGCCGCTGGGTACCCCAGAATGTAGGCCCACCTGTCATAAAAATAGCTCTTTTTTTAAAATCCTAATTTCTCTGTGCATCTTGGTAGCCCAAGCATGGGTGGCGGGAAGGATGACAAGAGAGGCAGGAGGTAAGGACATGGCCAAAAGGAAATAGTCAGGATGTCCCTCTTCCATGCCTCTCCCTCTCCTTGTCCGGGGCGGCACCCTGTGCCCGCCTTGCCCAGGGGAATAATGAGAACTGGGATCAGCAGTGTCTGGCTCTGAAGACAGTGAAGTTGTTCGCCTTCTCTTTTACTCATTGGAGCCTCCCCAGTTAGAATCCAACAACTGGCCTCTTAGAAAGCTCCTACTCCCAGCAGCCTCTTTCCCCCCATCACTCCAACTTGGTAGGGACAGAAGGTAGGAGGCCAAGGACAGGGCTGGGGAAGATTCTAGAGGGAAGAAGGGAGGGGGTTCCATTTAAATTGTGTTTATTAATTCATGGGTCTGGGTTTGTTCCACCCCGATCAGCCCCAGGGCCCTCTTGATGAAGCATTTAAAATGTGGTTTCTTTCCATCCTAATACATTGTGTACTCCCTTCCCCACCCTACTCACCCTTCCCGACTCTGCATGCTCACCAAGGCCTTTCTCTCAACCCTCTCCACACCCGTTCCAAACTCTGTTTAAACCCCTTTTCCTCATCTTAGCCCAAGAAGAAGCTGAATGCACCCTCTGACCTGGTCACACCCAAGATCGTGCCTTTTGACCTTCTGCCTGAGACTGAGCCCTTTGACCTGAAGCCTGATACAGTACCTGAGCTCCCACCCTTTGACCAGACGCCTAGGGCACTGCCCTATTACCCAGATCCTGAGCCTCTGCCCACCCCAAAGGAGCCGACAGCCGGTGGGGGCGCTTAGGGTCTCCTGGGCCCCATGGGGCTGTGGGCATGGGGTGTCACTATAGTCCGCCATCCGCTCACCGCTTAGCCGTGGTCCGTACGGGATGGTCGGCCTCTTCCAAGCCACTGCTCCGTGTTGGGTGGGTGATGGGTATTAGGAAACGCTCTTGCATTAGGCAGAGTTCAGGCGAATGTGGTGTGTGCAATGGGGTGGGAGGTGAAGGGAAGGGGCCCTCCTCTCCTTCTTGGTTTCTTTCTTCATAGTGACACTCCAAGCACCATACTTGAGCTGCACCCAATGCTGCCCTGCATGACATTGCATGAGAACAAGCCATGGCTTCAGATTCTCCCTTCCCATACCCCTTCTGCCTCCTCCTCAGGGCCAGGCCAGTTTGGCTCAAAGCCTCTCTAAAGAGATCCCTCATGAGGCCCAGGCCTGGGGTCTGTTCTGTGCCTTCTCCACCCACTCCTCCCCACCTCCCTCCGCCCCCATGTAGCTGGGGAAAACATTTACACTTATTTTTTCCAGCTTAAAAAAAAAATGTTTTGCAAAGAGATCCCTTATGTTTGCCAGATCCTGCCTTGGGCGGGGCACTCAAAAGCTGCCAACTCGGAGAGGCCAGAAGGGGGTGCATTTTAACTGGCTCTGGCTTGGCTCTTCTGGCCTCCCTATAGCACAGTGTTTCCCAACGTTTTTTCTTTTTCATAATCATCCCCCTGAGGAGTCCTTTTAGACGTTTCCCCCCTAATTGTCCCCTCCCCCATGACATTTTAATCTTACAGTTATACTATATATCTGTTTATGTACTGGGGCTCTTTGGAGCATCTCAAATAATTACAATATCTAAAATCTCCCCTCAATCCCCAAGAATCAATTTCTATCTTCTTGGGGACAATATCACTCCTGTTGACAGTATCACACTGGCAGAAAGGAAGGACCCTCTGACTTTGGTTTCTCTCACTCCCCTCTCTTGGCAGTCTAAAGCAGAGTGCCTGAATATTAAAGACCTGGCCTTTCCTTCACCTCTTCCCCAGTCTGCACCTTCTTCTAACACCCTCTCTGAGCAGATCCTAGGTCTCCGAATTATCTTCCCAAAGTCTTCTCTGGCCATTCCCAGACAGTTGTTGGAGACAGAGCTGGTTCACTCTAAATCAAGAAAAGCTCTTATGACATTACCCCTTTCTCCCTGACAAATGTGAAGTGCCTGGCCAAGGACCAGACACATATTAGGTGCTCAATTAAATTATACTTTCTTCCTAAGCCAGAGGATCTTAAGTTTATACAGCAGGGTTGGGGAGTGGTGTGGGAGGGGCTGGAAGCTTCTCTGGGGCTCCTCTAAATTCATCCTGGACTGGTGCCTTCCTGGGTTGGGGAGCTGTGTGTGCTTGGTTGGGGGGAGCTGTGCATGCTTTTGTGCAGACCTGGTCATTAAAGGTAACTCTGGAAACCAAGCCTGTTGGGAGTGGTGGTTTTGTTTAATAAAAAAAACGTGAAAACAGAACAAGTGGAGCCTTCCCTCCTTGCCACCCCCTAAGGCCCCTCCTTTAGTTCAGGAGCTGTGCCAGGGAAGTAGGGGTGGGACAAGGTTGCCTGGCCTGTGTCCCCAGGGTGGGGGGGGAGGGGCTTTTGGATTGTGTTTATGGTTGTTGTAGCAACAGGCAGATTGGGTGGGCCCAAGATAGCACTCCAAGGCTATGAGTCATAGAGGAAACCTGGCTTGGAAAGGGGAAGAAAAGAGAAAATCCATTAATGGAGGGGAAAAGCTAAAGTCATGGCGGTATACCCTCTCCAGAACCAACCTCCTGGTTGTTCAGGAATTTGGGTCAAGTTGTTTCTTCCCCTAGCTCCTGCCTTCTACCAAGAAGGGCAGCTCCTCTGGTGGAAGCCATCATTCTGGGGGAAACCTACAATGAATGTGCTTATATTCCCAGGTACTGGGAGAGATGCCCCCAAATCCACAAATAAACCTCCCCTCACTGGGATTGCTCCCTGATGTTGTATTTGAGCCCTTTCATCAGGTCCTAGGAAGATGGGATTGGCTACAAGAAGTCTGCAACTCTCTCCCCAGCCCTGTTCACTTCCAAGCTCCGTTGGCAAAGACCTTTATCTAGGAAGCCAGAGGCCAGGAAAACCAGCCAGCTCAGCCTTTAGCGGGTGGGGTGGGGCGGGGGGGATCAGGAATGCTGGGAGTGGGGCAGGGAGACAATGTGGATTTGTTTTCCAGCAGCTGGGAGTGTTTCCTGACTGTTCCCCGCCCATCACTCTTAGTCCTTCTGAGCCCATCCACATTGTCTGAGCTTAGTGAAAGGAGGGGTTAACCTCCACCCTTTGGTGTCCCGCATGTGGGTTTTTATTCTGGGAGGCTGTAAAGGAAAGATCAGAAATGAAAATTTTTTTTGATACAAGACTGCAGGTAAATTCTGGGTGGAGATAGATGAAGAGGCAGTGGAGAGTTAGATCCTAGAGAGCCCTAAAATGCTGTGAAAGAGAGGACTCAGTAGTAGACAGGGAGAACTAATTGTTGAAGGAGACCCAAGGACTACAACTGGAACTAAGGGAATGCTGAGAGGTTGGGACCCTCCTATACTCAGAACATGGAAAACACCCCTTCAATGCCTCTGTAAGTGGGAAAAGGCAGAGGGATGAGCAAAATGAAGTAGGATGCCTATAACAGTACTAAGCCAGCTATGGCAAGTAGGGACTACAAGTCCCAGCATTCCCGGTGCCCAGGTCATCTTGCCTGCTGGGAGGTGTAGTCAAGTAATGAGAGCTTGAGGTAGCTGGATGCCCAGAAGGGCTGGTGCCCAGTTTGGGAGAAGAGGTGGAGCCAGCATTCCCTCGTTGTCCCTGCTAATGCTATTGACAGGGAGGGAAGGAAGTTGGGAGGGGTGTTCCTAGTTTTCAGTGTAAACCAGGAAACTGGGGGGATTCGGATGAGAGGGAAAAGGAAAGAGGTTGAGAGCTGGGGAAGGAATGTCTGTAGCAGGTGGTGCAGAGATACCAAGTGGCCAATGTATGTGTTTGTGTGTTTCTGAGAGGGCTCAGCTCATGTTGCCTCATTTTTCTCAGTTGGGATTTTCTTACAATTCTGGGAAACGATCTTCAGAAAACCCTCTAGAAATACTGTCTCTCATTTCTTTGTCTGAAGTCTCTAGTCTAGAGAGTCTGCACCAAAGAGGAGACGCTGTTTATGTTCTGGGTTATGCCTCCTTTCCCTTTCTATGCTCAGCCTCCCACGCCTGCTGGTGTGATCCTGGGATTGTGAAACGTTGGCCCAGAGTCAGGATCTTGGAAAACCTTTCCAGAATGGAAGACAGTGCTGATGCTAGGTCCTCCGAGAGGAAAAGGGAATAACTGGCTCTGAACTTCAGGGTCTCAGGGAATGTGGGACCAGCATCCTACTTGAGCTCCAATCTGGGGGGAAGAGCAAAAATGGAAAAGTAATCCCTCTCTTCCATTCCAAAGCAGGGAAGTCAGACCAGAAGAGAGATACGTGCTGGGGGGAAAACATGCCCTTGGCTGACAGCCAACTGTTTCCTTTTTCTTCCCTGAATTTCCACATGGGGGAAAAATGCACTGGTGGAGCCAAACAGTATGAGGAGGTCAAGGGGGTGGGGGTGGGGGGTTAGGACATGGGCCTTCTCCCCTAAGACTTGTTCTGAAATCATTTGAAATCTGGAAAACGCACTCCCTTTACCTTGCCTTCCAGCTACCTTACTTGGGGGCAGCCTGATATTGGCTGTGTGTTCATCTCCCCTCCCTGAACCCTCAACCTGAAGAAACAGTTCTCAAACCCCTTTGCTTTTAGGCCTGGCTCGGGCAATGTGTGACTTAATGCACCAGAGGGCGCTCTGCCCATTTCCAAAGTTCAGCTGTGTTCACATGGCAAGGAGTGGTTTATTGTAAGAAGGGTGGACCGAGGTACTAGGACAGAGTTGGGGGGCCGCAGAGATTTTTAACCGAAAAGCAATGACACTACACGCCAATCTCCGACCCGAAGCTCTTTTCCCTCCTTGCCCTATCATCCATTCGACACATTTCTGGGGTGCAAACGAGGCCAGGCTCTGGGGATACAATGCCAAACCAAACAAGTCCAGGTCGATGGCAGGGGTACCACGCACTCCCCAGGATCCCCGCCACCCTGCCTCGGGTTCACCCAGCGCCTCCCTCCCCAAGTCCCCGCTCAGCCCCACTCATCTCTTCCCGTCTGCTCTCCCGATAGGATGAAGTGAAACTCCCGGCCAAACTGAGCATCAGTAAGTCGCTGAAAGAGTCAGAGACCATGCCGGAGAAGGAGGGCGACGAGCTGGGCGAGCAGCCCGAGGAAGACGCGGCGATCGAGCTGTCCTCGGACGAGGCGGTGGAGGTGGAGGAGGTCATCGAGGAGTCGCGCGCGGAGCGCATCAAGCGCAGCGGCATGCGGCGCGTGGACGACTTCAAGAAGGCCTTCTCCAAGGAGAAGATGGAGAAGACCAAGGTGCGGACCCGGGAGAACCTGGAGAAGACCCGCATCAAGACCAAGGAGAACCTGGAGAAGACGCGGCACACGCTGGAGAAGCGCATGAACAAGCTGGGCACGCGCCTGGTCCCCACCGAGCGCCGGGAGAAGCTCAAGACCTCCCGCGACAAGCTGCGCAAGTCCTTCACCCCCGACCACGTGGTCTACGCGCGCTCCAAGACGGCCGTCTACAAGGTGCCGCCCTTCACCTTCCACGTCAAGAAGATCCGCGAGGGCGAGGTGGAGGTGCTGAAGGCCACCGAGATGGTGGAGGTGGGCAACGACGACGAGGAGGGCGGCGCGGAGAGGGGCGAGGCCCTCGACCTGCTGCGCGGGAGCAGCCCCGACGTGCACACGCTGCTGGAGATCACCGAGGAGTCGGACGCCGTGCTGGTGGACAAGAGCGACAGCGA